TGTAAGAAATATATACATATATATACATGTATATAGATGCATATATCCATGCATAAACATATATATAATATGTACATGGTGATTAAAAAATCTGGCAATGGCCAATTATCTCCGACAATAGTGGTCTTATGAAAAAAATACTAAAGGTGTTGACTTTTACCTAGGTGTCAAATTTTGAGATCATTTATAGGTCAACCTTTTAAAATCCTTTATTTTTTATTAGATATTCTTGTAGCTTATCTCGACAGCTTTCCAAAGCATTATAATAAAACATTTTTTCATAAAGTACTTTTTGAATTATAAAGATTCGAAGCAATTGTTTGACATAAAATTATATCTTTGTAAAATATTCAGTTTTACGTTATCATACTTTTTATTTTTATGCACATAATAATGAGACCAATTTGGTGTAAAGAAAATGCACCCAGCAAACACAAAATATAACTGCTATGTTACATGTATATAATACTATATAACGTGCATGTTACATGTAACATACGGTAATTTCTCATTCATAGATGTAACATTTGTAATATGACATATGTTATTTATATATTGTAATTACATCCCAGATAGCATCGATATTGTAGGATGCCGAAAGATAATCTTTCGCTAAGTCACTATTCTATCTATAATTACAATAAATAATAGAATCCATAAGTGGGAAATTACAACTAACGTGTATGTTACATGTTACATGCACGTTATTTACGTGTTATATAGCAATTATAATGTTTGCTGAGCAGTTGCTTCTTGAAAACTACATACGTCTTTTGCAACTGTGTTTTCTTTGCACCTATTGATTGGTCTTATTATTCCGTGCATAAAAAGTATAAATGTATAATAAAAATTGAATGTTTTACAAGATATTGTCAATTTTATAAAAGAATTGTTCACTTCAAACCTTTATAACTCAATAAGTACATCAAAAAATATTTTATTAGTGTTTTGGAAAATTCTCGAGATAAGCTACAAGAATATCTAATAAAAATAGAGGGTTTTGTTTAATAAAAGTTGATCTTGAAATAACCTCTTAATTTGACCCCTACGTCAAAGTCAAGGTCACCATAAAATATCTTATTTTTCCTAGAAACAATTTTTATATATAACAATATAAAATTATATAGAAATATATAAAATTATACATATAATTGCAAAATTAAATATGAAATATGTCTATATATAATTAGATAAAAGAGCTTTTTATATACATATACTTATATAATATATATATATATATATATATATATTGTATATATAATAAATAAGTATTCACATATATAAATATATATAATGTTTCATATATAACTTGACATGAGATTATACATGAACTTCATAATTTATATATAAATAAATTTAATTATATATAAAATAAACATATTTCACATATAATTATGTATAATTATATAATTATTTAGATATAATTATATATAAAAAATTTTTCCCGGGTTGAATTCTGCAATTTTTATATTTTATTCATAAGACCACTATTTCTTGAACATAATTGACCGTTACCGGACTTTTGAACCACCTTGTATATATATATATATATATATATGGTAGATTGTATATTTCCTTTGAAAAATACATGAAAATATTCATATATCATCAAAATATATAAAAGAGCAATATTAAAATTGTGTTCAACTATGTCATAAAGAGACACATTTATATATGTATGTTTTATTGTCATTGACACGCTTAGATGCGTGTGCGAGATGATTTGACAGTAAAAATATATTATGTTGTCTGATTTCAATATGTTGAACACACTAAAATGGGTTTTTGACATATATATATTACTGTCAATAATAGCGGAATTAAAATTGTCGGTAATTATCGACAATTTTAGTTCCTTTCAAATGAGGGCGCTAATCCGTCGGAGTTCGGCCAACGCTCCGGCATCCCCTTAAGACCACTTGCCAAATATTTCAAGAAGGATTGCTCAATTGAGACAAATCTAAGGCCTTTTCAAAAGTACCGAGGATCGAGGGCGATTGAATATTCTCAAAGGCGTGGCCTACTGCGCACGTAGTAAATCTCAAACGGATCATTCAAGATAAGTAAAAAAGCTCAATTAAAGGCGAGTACGAGGGCTTCTGGTTAGTAGATCTCGTTCTGCGATGAAGTGATATTTCTTTCTTCTTAGATTCATGTAAGGAATTCTAATCTGAGGAGATTCATCGTACGAACATCCAAAAGCCCATCTCAATTCTGTCTATCAAGTCATTTTCTTTGTTGTATTATGATGACGTGACTGATTTATATAACATGTTTTTATTGGTTTCTCATCCTGAGGTTTTTGGGAACAATTCTGACCTCTCGATTGAGATATTCATCTCATATGTTTTATTTTTTTTATTTGTATTACACATTGCGTTTTTCTTTCGATAATTACTATTTAATTATAAGCATTTATATATTTATATAAGTTTTTCATCACCTCTTGTTTACATATATATGTCTTGGTTACAATTCTTGTCTCTCGATAGAGAGATCAATCTCATATGTTTCATTTCCTTGATATATATTACATATTGCGTCTTTCTTTCTTTACTTACTATTCAATTATAAGAATTTATAGTTTACTTATGCTTATTTCAACTACTCTTGTCTATATATATACTTCTATTTTTAACACGTCAGTATAATCAGTGTGCGTTACTTATGATTCATTTTGTTTATGCATTACTGCTTGAGTCTTTCGTTCTTTAAGTATTATTTAGTGATTAGAATTCATGGTTTACACTTACTCTTGTTTCAACAACTCTTGTCTATATATATACATCTAATTTTTAAGACGTCAGTATATTAAGTGTTTGTTACTTGTATTCTTGATTCAACGATTATTTATTACAGTAGTTTCTTTTAAGATTTATTAATATTTTGTCATTTGTGAACCATCTACCATATCTTTACTATTATTCATAACTTTTTTCAGTATAACACAATTGAATTGATAAAAATTATTACAAGTGTATTATTATGTTTTTAATTTGACTCATTTTAAGATTGCGACAATAGTCTTTCAAATAAATAGTGAAGCGTTATACATAATTGACTATTTTTGGTTAATTTTAATGAGTGCCTGTCTCTACATCATCCCAAATTAAGTTTCTCAGTTATAGATTCATTCCCCCCGATGGGTTCCCACCTTGACGAAGTCCCGCGGCTGATGGGGTGGGGGGGGGTCCGAGGCGGAAGGATATCACCCGTTCAGGGGTGTGACCGACTAGCCTGGGCCCCCCTGGCTCGTCCGGCTGCTGGGGCGGGTGGAGGGGCTTGAGGGGGCGCGCGAGGGCCGCTCGCTCAGGAGATGGCAACCGTGTGCGCCGGACAAAGCGGAACCTCCTTAAGCTAAAGTGTGTGCAACCGTGCTGAGGGCTGCATGGCGTAAGGGGAGTTACGTCGCTAACGGTGCCTCTCGGATACCGGGCGACCTTCGAGAGTATCGAGCCAAGCCCTGGGCATTCGCGGCTCTGCCCAGGTGATACCGCGCGGCCGCGGTACTCGTGGGAACAAATATGAGTACAAGCCAAAATGAAAACTTTTCGGAAGTCCTACAGGGCGTGGCCACCTTAGGTGACGAACGACCTGGAGGAGAAAGCCCGAGCAATTCGGGGGCGGAGCCAAATAAGGCCCAGCCACCAAACGCTAGGATTCGTTATAGCGGAGCGGTAAGGCGACGCTATAAAAAACAGAAGCAGATGGAGGCGAAGGGGGAAGCTGCAAAGCCCACCTCGGAACTGACATCTGTTTCGACAGTTACTCCAAGGACGGGGGAGCGAGCTTCTTATGGGGCGGTAAAGCGACTCAGATCGGAACATAGCACACCCAGCCCTGCCAGTAACACTCAGTTGGGCAAAAAGCCGAAGATCGTAACTGACCAAAGGACTTTTGCCCAATTGACCTCCGGTCTTGTAAAGGTTGCCCTGGTTCCCTTGGTTTACCCTGACAAAAGACTGGAAAAAGACGAGGCATCGCTTCTGAAAGAAGCGGTCAGGAGGCGTATCCTTTGCTTAGCAAGGGGTACCAAAGCGCCTACTTTCAGAGGCACCTCGGATAGGGATGGGGCAGTTGTCTTTAACTGCACAAATAGGGAAACTGAGGAGTGGCTTAGAAGCCTAACCTCAGAAATTAAGATCAATGGGATCGAACTGCGTGCACTGCGGGTCGATGAGCTCCCTAAGAGACATCGAATCGTAGTGCACGTAGAGGATCCCACAATACCTGTCAAGGAAGCGTTGGAGCTACTTGACAGGCAGAACGTAGGCATCCAGTCACTGGACTGGGTGATCGCGAAGGGTAGCGAAAGCAGGGACGCCACGAGCACCCACTTCGCTGCCCTTGTTGGGGATGGGGCTTTGAGGGCGTTAAGAGCTCTCAACTTTAAACCCTACTGTGGACTTGGGCAGGCAACGATCAGGTTGCCTGCTGGAGAAAGCAGTAAGGAAGGCGCAAAGGAGAAATCACCGGACCCGTCAGCATAAATATGGCGGACCGGATTCACTTTACGCAGATTAACTTGCATCACAGCAAATGCGCCTCGGCTGTACTAGCCAGGTGCGCAGCTGTGATGCACACAAGTAAATACATATTTTTAATACAGGAACATGGATCATCAAGGGACATATAAAAGGACTTGGCAGCTGTGGAAAACTATTCTGGGCCGGAAACACGGACCGACCGAGAGCGTGCATTATAGCGAAAGGAATAGACGCCTGTCTACTGCCACAATTTAGCGATGGTGACTTTGTTGCCATCAGACTGAAAATAAAGACGACCGGTGGAATAGTCAGGGATCTAATTATAGGGTCAGTGTACATGCCTTACGATTTGGAAAACCTGCCCCCACATGAAAACGTGACTAAACTCACGACTTATGCAAGGCAGAAAGGCTAGAAATACTCCTGGGATGCGATGCCAACTCGCACCACCTGGTGTGGGGGAGCACCGACATAAATCCCAGGGGTGAGAGCCTATTCAACTTTGTGGTAGGTATGGAGCTATACATCCTGAATAGAGGAACAGAACCTACCTTCCTGGACTCTAGAAGACAGGAAGTGATAGATATAACCATACGCTCTGGCGGAATATTGGATCTGTTGAGGGGATGGAGGGTCTCTGATGAGCCCTCAGAATCAGACCACAGGCAGGTCCGTTTCACCATGGAGCAAGTACAGAGCCAAGGGTTATGGATGAGAAATCCTAGAAAAACAAATTGGAGAGGGTACGAGGAAGACCTTAAGAGTCGACTCAAGGAAGCACCCACTAGATTCTACACCAAAGAAAATTTGGAAACAGCGGGCGACTACTTGAATGATGCCATTAAATACTTATACGAGATGAACTGCCCATTAGAGTCAAAGAATCCTTCAGCCAAAGCACCATGGTGGAGCAAAGAGCTGGCTAAGCTAAAGGCTGAGGGGAGAAGACTCTTTAATAGGGCTAGAAATGTAAATACACCGAGATCCTGGGAGGAGTACAGGAAATCTCAGAGAATTTACAAAAAGGCCATAGTAAAAGCTAAAAGGAAAGGATGGAGAAGTTTTTGCTCAAGTATAGAGAGTGCTCCTGAAGCATCTAGACTGAGTAGAATACTCTGCAAGGAAAACCAAACACAATGGGGCTGCCTTAAGCTTCCCAATGGAGAGTACACAGAAACTGCGGAGGAGATCCTACGGCACCTTATGGAAATCTATTTCCCAGGCTTTAGGGAGGACTTAGCAGACAACAACAACAGGCAGAGACCCATGACCGTGCACAAATCAAGGGCATGGGGACTGGCAGCTAAAGTGGTCTATCCACAAGCAGTGGAATGGGCGGTCGGTTCCTTTGAGCCTTTAAAGGCTCCAGGACCTGATGGAATATACCCGATCCTGCTGCAGAAAGGGCTGAGCAGCTTGTTAGGCCCAATGACAAAATCTACAGGGCAAGTATTGCCCTTAGACATGTCCCCCAGAAGTGGAGAGAAACCAAGGTGGTTTTTATACCTAAACCTGGCAAGAACGGTCACATCAGGGTAAAGGACTATAGACCAATTAGCCTTAATGTCCTTTGTATTGAAAATCTTAGAGAGACTGGTAGAAAGATTTCTCAAGTCCAACTCTCTAATACAACAAAACCATAGTCGACTCTCAGTACGCTTACAGGGAGGGCAGGTCTACCGAAACCGCCCCTACTCACCTGATAGGCAAAGTTGAGAGTCACTGAAGGCAAAGGGCTATGCGATCGGAATCTTCCTGGACATCGAGGGCGCTTTTGATAGCACTTCACACGAGGTGGTAGGGGAGGCACTGATCAGACATGGAGTACAAGAACCACTGGTGGACTGGATAGAAGACATGCTAGTGGGACAGATGCTTGACGGTGGAGTGCCAAGATATTTCCATCAGAGGAAAACCAACGAGAGGCTGCCCACAGGGGGGAGTTTGATCTCCTCTGTTGTGGTGCTAGTGATAGACGACCTGCTAAAGAGCTACAGAGGCAGGTTCTCGACCTTTGGCTATGCTGATGACGTGGCCATTGTGGGTAGAGGACCATTTCTCAACACACTAAGGGACCAAGCAAAGGATACCTAAGGATTGTGCAAAACTGGTGTGAGAACAGAGGTCTAACGGTAAATCCGAGCAAGACAAATATTATGGTCTTCACCAGAAAATATAAACCTGAACCCATAGAGACGTTAAAACTCTGGGAAAAGGAAATACCGTTTACGAACTCGGTGAAATACTGGGACTGATTCTAGATCCTAAGCTTAGCTGGGAAAACATCTAACAGAGCAAAGGAAAAAGTTCTATGCATCCATGTGGATGTGCAGAAGGGCAATGAGCAAGTAGTGGGGCATCAGCGCTGGTGCAGCATTGTGGCTGTACAGGGAGGGTCCTGCTGCCGCGGCTGCTATACGCGTCAGTCGTCTGGTGGACGAATAAACAAAAAGGAGGTGGAAGAAACTACTTAGAAGCCTGCAAGGGTAACTACCTAAGGGCTGCAGTAGGGGCCATGAGAACCACACCCACAGAGGCGCTTGAACTAGCACTCAGTTTTACGCCAATAGGCTTGGCCGTGATAAATCAGCAATACCACGGCATACCGCCTGAAATGTCAGGGGGAATGGAGAAACACTTGACTGGGACACCCCAGGCTAGGTCTTCTCCAAAAGTACCCTATTGAGGGAAAACAAGACGAACCATAAGAACGACACAAAGGGGGACATGTGGTTCACGGACGGATCAGGCATAAACAATTGCTTTAGAGCAGGAGTATATGGACCTGGGGAAGGGAAAAACCATAGGGAGAGTATCCCAATGGGAGGCGATTGCACGGTCTTTATGGCAGAGATGCTCGCCATCCTCAGATGTGCCGAACTGAATCTAACCAAGGGAACAAATTGCAGGAAAATATATATATCTGCTCAGACAGTAGGGCAGCCCTTCTGGCGTTGGCGGGTACGACCACCGAGTCATACTTGGTATGAGACTGCATGCTGGCGCTGGTGGAGGAGCTGGTGAACAAATAAAGTAACGTTAGTCTGGGTACCCGGGCATCAGGGCATACGGGAAACGAAATAGCAGACTCACTGGCTAGAGAGGGGCTAGCAAGCACCATATAGTCGGGAGGTGGGAGTGCCCTTTACGATGGGCAAGAACTTCATCAGGGACAGTATAGACAAACAACATAAGGCCAGGTGGGAAACATTGAAATCCTGCCGACAGGCTAAATTCCTGATGAAAGACATTAATGGTAACAGAACCAAAGAACTACTCACATGAAATAGGCAGAGAAATGAGGATGGGATAGGACTGCTGACAGGACATTCACCAATACTCAAAGCCCACCTATTCAAATCAGACTCGCAGACAGGAAGGAGTGTCGACTATGCGGGGAGGAAAAAGAGGACAGCATACATATTCTGGGCCAATGTCCGGCTCTGGCTAGAAAGAGATTCAGGATCTGGGGACAAAGTTTTCTAAAATCCCAAAAATTAGACAAAACAAGGTGGGTGGTGAAACTCATAAGCCTAGTGGAGAA